ACCGCTTCCAAATTAATTTCCTTCCTTTGATAAAAGACTTGGGGGAAGACAAAGTGTTTAATGACCGTGTCCTTCAAAAACGGACTCCTAATAAGTGCAAAAAAGAAGATTTGTTTAACTGATTTTCTTTGAGACTTGAAGGCGAGGAATTAATTACCTTGATTAAACATTGTCAGCGTGGGCGCTGAAAGACGGGAGCGGAATTAGCGGTCCCTTGTTGAACTTGTATGGGGCTGGATGAGATGTGTCCCGATTACAAAGACCAAAAACAACGCCAGCGTTCGAAGAACAGAAACCGGTGATAAAGAGGAACCAGTGACATCACAGCGTGGTTCACGGACATGGAGCATTATGAAATGCTTATTAGTGCTCTATTAAAAACACTCAAGACTTTACACTTATGATACATTCACCAGATGCTGAAGTCTCATTTTGCCCACTGAATTTTGACCAAAAAATAAAAACATGTATTTTGCCATTTCTTTTAAACTTCCATAGTGGGAAAGTACCGTACTGTATCATGACCCAACACCCTCCAGTCTAATCCATAAACTGGTTCCAATGTGTCTCCCACCAAAGTCATTTTCATTCAAAACTGTCCTAAAACGAAGCACAGAAATAGCTGTGGTTTGTCTAGAAGTGGAAAAAACAGATGAAAATAACATGCTGTAGTATATAAGATCAAACTGTCACTGTCAGTATCTGCTGCGCTTGTCTGAGTCGTTTCGCTTTATAACAAACTTGGCGGGATATTGCTGACGCCTTTTAAGAAGAGGGGCTTTCATATGTCTAGTTTGCAAATGAATGCCTTTGAAATTAAAACTAATAAATAAGGGCGAAATGAAGGGGGCACTGACTGAAAACTGACTGCTCTGAACCACACCCCCGCCCAAAACGTGGCAACCGCTGCAGATGAAATACAGCTCAACTCATTCCTAAAGAAACCACTAACACCAAAAGCGCCTGTCAAAATCCGAAGATTGAGAAAGATATTTACGAGGGCGAGAAGCTGGGGAGTGAGGTGGTGTCGCAGTCTGAGAAGATGTGAGTCATGGTGAAGATGTCCCACGCAAAAACGGCACTAACTTAAGGTCTCATGATCTGCCGTACCGGCGGCTACATGCATAAAACGACAAAGATTTATGTTAAGACTTATAAAACTACTTACCTAAGTTAGTGCAGTGCATTAAACTTCTGAACAGCTCTTTTCATTTGTTTTTGCAACAATCAGAAACTTCAATGACGAAACTTAAGGTCTAAAAATTCAGTTTGCCCTTAAGAACTTTTCTCATGTTCCACTTAACGATTTCCCTGAAGTGATTTTATGCCTCTCACTTATGCTCGTAAACAAAGGGGCCAAAAAGGGGTTCATTTGATCACTGCCATGTTAAAAAAAACACTTTTGGCTCCTTGAAGAAAGGCCTGTTATTGTTAATGACTTTATAGAACATCCACATAATGTAAAAGTTTAAAATTGAAGGTTTCTCTAAGAACTTTATGCCCAAAACACAACTTTTCAGGTGTCTTGTTTTACAGAGTCTAAGGCAAAAATCACTCAAGCTCTTTTACGCAAGTGGCCACTGGCGAGAATCCTGGTAGAACTTTAGCCTCCTTGCCACCATTGGAGGCTCCATAAAGACACCCCAACACAGCTTTGTACTCTTAACAACCCCCCACCCAACACACACCTCCTCCTCCTCCTCCTCCTCCTCCCCTCTTTGAGAACAAGGGGGGGTTTCTACAGCTGGGTAACAAAGCATGACCCAATAATCCTCAGGCCTAACTCAAAGCTGGAACCTCCTCTCCAAGGACTTTATAAGACTCATGCATGGGGGAGGGGTCAGACACAAACACAAACTAGAATTAATTATTCTAATTAAGACACGAACTCCAACAATGGACGTCAGAAAAGGCGTCAGCTGGACGTCCACATTACTCAGGGCGATGTATCGTCAATACCGGTAAAGCAATACGTGCGTCATGATACTCATCTTCAGCATCACTGCTAAATAACAAAAAACTGAACTGCAATATAGAGCATCTGCCGGGTGCATAAAAAATGGAAAAAAAAGCCATTTTTTCTGCTCATGAAGTGACATCAAAGGGAAAGAGAGAGAGAAATAAAAATAAAAAAAGGCCCAATCAAAACAAACTATGTCAGGTTTGTTGTAAAGCTTTCTTTCTACATAGCAAAGCAATGAAGCTTCATTAACTTAATCATCTGACACTGAAACATACTTGGGAATTATCATTATATTGAAGCATCAGCATCGGCCAGGCTGCTGAACTCGGAGGCGCTGCTTGCTTGCTGAGAAGCTCCTGGCACGCTTGCGAGGCTCAGTGAAGCGACGTGAAGTGAAGCTGGCTTCCTTGAACTGAGTGGAGTGTGAAACCCTGGGCTTGCATAGCAGTGAAGGCGTTAAAGATCAGAGTGAGGACTTTCTGCACCTCATTTGCAGTTTCTTTGTGACTACCAGGTTCAAAGAGAGGAAGTCCAGACACGAAGCAGTGAGAGAATGATAAACAAGCACTAACTCTGGTCTGGTACTGAAGTTTGGCTCAGCTAAAAGAACAGCAGGAAAAAAAAAATAATAACCCACCGAAAGAAACTGGTAGAAAGGCTCTAACTGACCAGTAAGACCTGCCCACTTCGGGGAAATCATCAGCTCCAATCACTGTTATAATTTAAACAAAGACGCACAAAGCTGACCACACTCAACTGGACAAAGCCGAACCACAGCTGCGTTAGCTCATGCTGCACTGCACTGCAACACTGTTGTCAAATCCCAGCGTATTAACCCTTTCTGTGTAAACAATCCAAGGCACTATTCTCTCATTCTCTCATTATACAGGTGAAAAATTAAAACGAACAAAAAAATGACAACAGGACGACTGACCAAGTAGTCAGTTTTATGGTAAAGTTAGACATCATGGTCACTACTAGGTGCTTAAGACAAAACAACTTGTCAACTACGAACAAGGGTATGTTAATCTTAACAAAGGGGTCCAATGTAATCTGAAAACACTTCAACCTTAACACAGATAAGGATGAGATCTATTATGTTAAAATTATGCATTATGGTCAACAACTTTCCGTCTGAGACAGAAACAACTCGTCAACCTTGAGCAAAGGTGCGCTAATCTTGACTAAAAGTTCCATAATAAACTGAAAATACTGCATCCTCTGCTATCTTTCCAAATAAAACTCCAATACAGCACATCCACAACAGGAGAGCCACTCGCACCGTGAGCCCAGTGCAGAACGTAAAGTTTCCGTTTAAAGCGAAGACCTGATTCCCTTATGAAAGAAAACCTTTCAAGGTTGCTAAATAAGTGCCCGTGTTATTTCATTACAGGCAAAGTTATCACGTTTCCACGTACGCAGAGGCCTTTTAAAGGGACACAGTAAATCTTTGTGAGAATAAACCACTCGCAGCTTCTTTATTGGATTAGGTATATGCATGCTATCGCTGGCCTCCTAGCACTTAAGTTTAATACTACTATTTTAAGGAACGAAAACACACACTAAAGCTGGGCTCGTCACAAAGGTGCTTTTTGTTTCCTTGTCAGCGTGAGTGCCTCATATCTGTCGGGGGAAAGGCTTCGAACTTTGCCAGCGCTGAAGGTGTGGGCCTTCTCACAATCACACCATGCATGACTTCTACTGAGCAGACTGTGCAGGCTACGCAGTCTTTCAAAATGCCATGCAGGTCTTGGCCCACGCACAAGAGAATTTACCATCAGCTGCTATGGATTCTCTTCTTCCACCAGTCCATTTTTTTTTTTGTGCTAATTTACACTGCATGGGTGAGCCTGTGGAGTGAGCCTTATGGTGAATATAAGAGCAGAAAAAGCCATTAACGAGCTCCAAACCACAACCACAGATTCATTTCTCCAACCTACGTACCCTGTTTTTAAAGCCAGAGGCGTTGAAATGGACTTTCTGTGCTGTTCCTTTGTTTAAATGCAGATTTTAATCTATATGAGGGGCTTTTTTCTCTCCTCCTGCTCTGATTGATCATCCTGAAGAGGGAAGAGGGGGAGGGAGCCAGAGCTATTGTGTATTACTAGAGCCACACAACGCCAATATTAACCAAACCAAACTGTTTTTCTCTCCTTCTACTGTCGATTTTCGACATTAAACCGAGCTGTGAGATTAATAAGTGCCCGCACATGTGCTTTCACCGGCCTGGCTGAGATAGACAGACGTCCTTTGTCCCGACCAAGCAAGCAAATAAACAAAAGCCATGAGATTTGGACTCGAGCGGATTAGCCTGCACTTCATTACAATGAGAGATCCAATAAAACCGTCGAGGCCCCAAAACACGTCGTGTAACTTACAAAACGATAAAAACCTAAAGAAATAGGACCCAACTTCGAAGGTCGATCGACGAACCGGGCAGCAAGGGGGTTACAAAAGAGGTTTTGACCACCACGGTTGTTTTTTTTTCCTCCCCTTCGTCTTTCGAGCTGAGGAGAGAGAGAGAGAAAACGCTGCGACTCCATTGTGAGGCGTTCAAACGAGGGGGGAGAAGCAGAGTTGAGTTTTATGTTACTAAAATCACCGAAATGTGTGTCTTCTTACAGATTTGCAGTCTTTTTTGAGCGAACTAAGTCGAAAAATACCCGCACGGGAGTCCTATACGGGTGAGGTGACTAACGTAAGCCCCTTTTAATCTTTAAAAACCCCTCTGACGAAACTGCGTTAGCACTCAAGCTAAAATGCAAACACGAAACGAAGCAGCCGTCGAGCAAAAAATAAGAGAATTCAACTCTTCTAGTTGCCGAAACAGAAAGACAAAAATGTCGAATTCACTCTTTCCACACACACAAACGTCAATTTTGGTGGATTAAGTTATTTAGCTGAGGGAAAGTTCCACCGTTTCCACACGAAGCGAAGCAGAAACTGAGGTAACGTTAACGTTAGCGACCGTTAGAAGTGACCGTTAGCGTGTTTTTTATTTTTCTGGAAGAAAAAGGTTCGTTAAGTTTCCACTCACCGACTTGCAGCACATTATCCACACAGCCCGTTTCCAAAAGTCGGATTCCCCGCCGGAAAGGGAGCCCGTCTCCAGCGGCTCCGGTCCCGGCGCTCCCTGCCGTGCCCGACGCCCCTCCGGGAGCGGTGGCCGAGCCAGCGGAGGACGCGCTGGAGCCCGCTGCGGGAGCGTCCTCGCCGGCCGCCCGGCACTGGAACGACGAATACATGCATATCTCCCTCTCGTTCCGCGGGAAGGACCAGTAGACGATGCGGCGCTGCACGGGCTCCGGGATCCTCTCGAAGCGCTCCTCCACCCGCTCGAAGGCCCACTTCTCCGCCACGGCCTTGGCGGCGCAGTCCAGCAGGGATTCCGGGCAGCGGGGACGCGAGTTAGGGAAGACCGGACCCGGCCCCGGACCGGGGCCCCGAGGAGCCGGACGCAGGCACGGCCGCTTGCTGGCCGGCGGTGAGGAGAGGAGCTGGAGCGACGGCGGCGGATCTCCGCGTCCCTCCGCCATGACAACGCGAATAAACACTGACGCAAAGAAGCGAAGAACGAGAAAGTGGAGGAGGAGGAGGAGAGACACTCGCGACGACCGGACTCGTGAATGAATCGTGCTTTTGAACCGGTTCTTTTCAAGGAGTCAGTCGAACCGATTCACACGTTGAACTGAACTGCATCGAGCATCTTCACGGTGTTTACGCCTGAGTTATTGATGGAAGGCTCCTAATAAAAATGTAATAATGCTCTTTTTCAATTTAACATCATGAAATCATCACACTGAATGCCACGTTGGAAGAAATCGAGAGCAAAACTGTTTAAAATGGCTAGCGTTTTCTCTCTGTAGACTGTCTCTGGCCTCCTCTCAGTCTTTTTCTTCGCATTGCAACCCTGAATCCAACTGACAAGAAGTAAAAGGAACTCATAGACTCGCTGTCTAAATTAAATGTAATTTTATATGGAAAAGATAGGAGAATAAAGCTGTCTTAAACAATTCACAGCAGATATCAGACTCACCTTCTGAATCGAATCTCTCTCTATTAAAGGAAGTGAGAATAAAGTTGTCCAGCCTTTGTGAACGTCACTCTCAAAGCACTAAAGCATAAACTGCGAGGAACTACACGGACGACACAACAACAAAGTTGATCTGACTCCAATAAAAGAATCGCTGAATCGGACGTCAGATACATTGAAACGGACGGTTCAAAAGAATCGGTTCAGTGAACAGAACAGAAGTTCCCATCACGGCTGCTACGTCACCACCAATAACAAACGCTCGTGAGCCAATCCCCGAGGTGATGCGCGCGTGCGACCGTGCGTGAGTGAAACGGGACAAGCTGACGCTTCTCGCGAGAACATGTGGGAACTTCGTCTTTTTTACTGTAGGTAAAGAAAAATACCTGGAAATAAACACTAAAATGAACGAAGCCGCTTTTGTTCAGAACATAAGAGGTAAAATATGTCAGGAGTCGCTGATTTTTACTGTCTTAAACTGCACAGACTGGGATAACAGGACATACAGATAGGTATGGTGGGAGGGTAGGTAGGCTGTGCATGTTGGCTATTATGAAAGAATGTGTCAGTGATGAGGGTCGTGCATGTCACAGGCCCTAAATCATTTTTTTATGAGACATTTTTTATTTTATTTACTACACTCTTTAAAAAAGGGGTTCTTCAAGGGTTATTTGGTAAAGACAATGGTTATATTTAGAACCCTGAGATCTGTATAGAACCATTTCATGCTTAAATGATCCTTTGCATGGTGAAATGATTCTTCAGAATGATGGATGTGTTAAATATGGTTCTATATAGCACCAGAAAGGGTTCTGCTACTGTAATGAGCTCGATATGGTAACAATAGAAGAACCCTATAGGGGATCTGCAAAGAACAATTTAAGCATTAAATGTTTCCATATTGTTTCTATATAGAACCATTCCATTTACTGAAGATCCATCTTTCTTAAGAGCGTGCTAAAGATATTTTGGACTATTTTTACTGTGTTCCAGTGTGTTACTCAATAGAAATGGCACTGGTGAGCAGCAGCTGCAGTTCGAATAAACAAGTTTCTTATAGCGTCCCCTTTACCTAATGGCTCATAATACCTGAATCCACCCTTTGGCAGTTCACCGTCCTAGACAGGCAATCAAGTCCAGTGAATTGCAAATGAAGTTCACTCTCTTTCCCTCAAATCTTCCCAAAACGTCAAATAAACATTTTCTAATGTCCTCAATAACAGTCTTAGCAGAAACGGTCTGGCTTTTTGTGAAAAGTCTATTTAAAGTGCTTTTTATGCACACTGGACAATGCAGTGGACAACCTAAATTGGTTGAAGTCATTTTATCAAGTAATGCTGCTACATCACATCAGTGCTGCATTGCCTGGAGCCCATATATTTTGTCTCACAAACAGCTTAATGGTACAAATGAAGTGGATTTAGGGGAGTGTCTGATGATATTGATGGCTCTGTACTGATCTTTGATCTCATCCTAAATTTCTTCACCACAGGGCTGCATACATCTACCGCTTAGCCTGGTGGTCAAGCCTTTAAGGCCAGATGACTGAAGTCTTGTCAGTCTTTATGGTTCACATGGACTCCAAATGTAAGTGCTGGTAGACACATGGAATTGTGATTAGGCCTGTTTTCTGCCCTCAGTTAGTTCAGACCTTTGCAGTGATTGGCTGAGAAGCATTAGATAAGTGGTAGTATCTCAGTATTGGCACCTTGCAAAGGCCATCATAATATACACACTTAACAAATGGCTCTTCAAGGGTTCCAAGGGTTCTTTAGTAAAGACAATGGTTCTGTATAGAACCATGGACACCCACAGAACCATCTGCATGCTTAAATAGTTTTTTGCATCATGAAATGGTTCTTCAGATTGATGGAGAATGTGTTGTATATGGCTCTATACAGAACCGTTTTCAGGATTCTATGTAGCATCGTAAAGGGTTCTGCTATCGTTATGATGCCTGTAACAATAGGCGACATCATTTTGGTGCTGTAAAGAACCATTTTCAAAGCACATTTTCCATCAATCTGAAGAACCATTTTTTGATCCAAAGAAGCTTTTAACCGTGCAAATGGTTCTTTGAGTGTTCATGGTTCTATATAGAACCATGTGTAGATTATTTAACTACTTTTCTTCAGAGAAATGTTTATTAATTTTTAAATTTGTGTGTCATTGTTTTCTCAAAAGCTAATAATAAAACAGTGGTATAATTGCAGTAATAGACTCACGGCTAAACTCCCTCTTGTGTATTATTGCATGATTTTCATGACTGTTTGTTTATCCAGTTGTTACAGTGTAATAAACCTTGTTTATGAGGTGAGTGGAGTAGACTGTTCCAGAATATGAACCGACAAATGAATTAACGTGAAAGGATGAGAACAATCTAGAACAGCGCAAATGGGGAAGCACATTTTGGAATAGTGTAAATGTAGGAGAAGATTCTGAAACCATGTAAATGGGGAGAACATTCTGGAGCAGTGCCATTATAGAAGAACCTTTCAGAACAGTGGACATGTAGTAGAACCTGCCAGAACTGCTACAATAGGGAGGAACATTCTGGAGCGTTAGTAAGAAGAACTCACTAGAACAGCATATATGATGGTAACATTCTGGAACGGTTTAAATGTAGGAGAACTTTTTAGAACAGCATTATGGGGTAGAACCTTCTGGAGTATTGCAAACATAGGAGAAACTTTTAAAACAGTGTAAATGTAGGAAATCCTTCTAGAACAGCATAAATGGGAAAATACTCTGGAACACTAAATATAGGAGGACGTTCTAGAACAGCATAAATGAGGGAGGACATTCTGAAGCAGTGTAAATATGGAAGAACCCTTTAGAACAGCATACATAGGGAGAATTTTCTGGAATATTCTAGAACAGTGTAAATGTGGAAGAACCTTCATAAACAGCATGAATTGGTGAACATGCTGGAACATTGTAAATGTAGAAGGACATTCTAGAACAGTGTAAATGTAGAAGAACCTTTTAGAACAGCATAAATGAGGGAACATTCTGAAACAGTGTTAATGTAGAAGAACCTTTTGCAACAGCATAAATGGGGAAACATTCTAGAACAGTGTAAATGTGGAAGAACCTTCGAGACCAGCGTAAATGGGTGAAGAGTGTAAATGTAGGAGGACATTCTGGAACAGTGTAAATGTAGAACAACATTCTAGAGCAGTGTAAATGTACGAGAACCTTCTAGAACAGTGTAAATGTAGGAGAACATTCTAGAACAGTGTAAATATAGTAGAACATTCTAGAATATTGTAAATGTAGAACAACATTCTAGAGCAGTGTAAATGTACGAGAACATTCTAGAACAGTGTAAATGTAGGAGGACATTCTAGAATAGTGTAAATGTAGAAGAACATTCTAGAACAGTATAAATATAGGAGAACATTCTAGAACAGGGGCGGCACGGTGGCGCAGTGGGTAGCGCTGTCGCCTCACAGCAAAAATGGCCCGGGTTTGATTCCTGGCTGGGCGACCAGGGTCCTCTCTGTGTGGAGTTTGCCTGTTCTCCCCGTGTCTGTGTGGGTTTCCTCCGGGTACTCCGGTTTCCTCCCATGGTCCGAAAACATGCAGTCAGGCCAATTGGACATGCTAAATTGCCCCTAGGTGTGAGTGAATGTGTATGTCTGTCTGCCCTGTGATGGACTGGCGACCTGTCCAGGGTGTATCCTGCCTTCCGCCCAATGACAGCTGGAATAGGCTCCAGCACCCCACCTCGACCCAGAAGGATAAGCGGTTTAGATGATGTATGTATGTATGTATGTATGTATTCTAGAACAGTGTAAATGTACGAGAACATTCTAGAATAGTGTAAATTATTGGTTCTGCTAACTGTTGGGGGTATACAGTGTATATGTATTCTAGAGCAGCATGAACATTATAGACATGTCAGAAAACTGTATACAAGTCTGCCTCACCACCCAAATGTTTAGGATTGTCGGTGTTGGAGGAAGTTTGGGCAGAACGTAAAGAGTATTTACCTCTTATTCTTTGTCGAAATGTCTTGTTTATCAATTTTTGGAATTTGTGTGTCATCGCCGTGTCAAAGGCTACTCATAAAACTGTGGTATAATTACAGTAATACACTCACAGCTGAACTCCCTCTAGTGTAATATTGCATAATCTTCATGACTGTTTGTCCGGTTGTTACAGTGTAATAAAAAGATTGTTTATAAAGTGAGTGGAGTTCAAAAATGTCCAGAGAGGGTCAGCAGATGACCGGTACGCAGAGGGGAAACAGAAAAAGCCTAACAACTTCTGTGAAATAAAAAAGACGTCCGTAATTTTGAGTTCATTTTTATTTCATAGCCATCATTTCTGTTGTATTTCAACTCTGTGAGTATTGTGATACTGCTCTTATTTCAGTGTTGCGTTTTAGTAGGAAATAAAAGGTTAAATTCATGAACTGTTGAATGGAAAATTGTCCAATCAGATCTAGGTAGATACAGCCAAACAAGCTCTCCCATTGGTTAGGCCTTCACGAGCCGAAGTGA